GTGTGAAGACATCATGGTGAACTTTAAGTGAACTGGCTGTTGAAGACAGCCCACGGGCCCCCCAAAGTGTGAAGGAAGGAGTCTACTTTGATGCAGATTGAGCATGACCTTACAGGTCAGTGATTCATGGAGAAAGTCCTTGAGCCAACATACCTGCAATTTGCCATTCCTGCATGCCAACCCAGAAGTGACAATTTTCTAGCAGGAAAATTCCAAAGCTACACAGAGCTAAGATCGAATGGCATGACTTCAAGAAAACAAATTCTTGCCATGGACATTTTTTTTCCTGAATCAAGTCCCAAATAGTATCTTTGGCACCAGGTCACCTGTGCCATCAACAGGATGCAACTGGCCAGCACTTCCTAGCTGGTCGCAAATAAAGAATGGCAGAACATCACCACAGCCTTCTATCAAGAGGCGTATCAGGCCTATGTGTTAATACATCACCAGTACTGAGATTTTGCTCAAGCGGCTTTTACCCAGAACTAGCTTGTAACATTTCTTATGTTCTAATACACAACAGAAAATCAAACATTCTGTTTAAAAGATTTAGAAATCAGTTGAGAAGTATTGCAAATGCATTGCTTAAAATGTACAAAACAAAAAAAATCATGATTCATAGTTTCAAAAGAAAAAAAACAGCTTTGATGCATTTGTTTTTATCCTTCTTTCATTGCAAATTCAGTAAGTTGTCTTAACTGACAGCTGAAAGCACCCCTACTGTAATATGCTGACTGTGTGTTTTTAGTCAGACATTGGCATGCAATCTGATTAGACTGAACTGATGTAAAAAGTCACTTCTGAGGTTTGTGATTCAAATTGTAATAAGTGCAAAGAAGCAACACACCACAACATATATCTGTATATTGAGTCTTAAAACAGGCATACAAGGCTTTGTTCTTATGAAGGAAAAAATACTTATTGCGATATTGTAACAATTTAATTAAGCAAGACTTTATTTAAACAATTTTGTTGCAGTCATTGATTCAGTTTTCTCCTTTCATCAAAAAATTGATATTACATGTGCAAAAAAACAAGAAATACTAATACCTGTCAAAGGTTTGAGTACACCTCCTTGAAAAAAGAAGTTTAAAATTGTCTTTGTCAGATGTTCTCACAGTTAACTAGCATATTAACTCATTTACCTTTTGTCACCAATTATCGGTAAACAGGTGAGGGAGCATGGGCAAAAGTTTGTAATTCCTGAATGAACATGGCAAAATTTGCTCAGTTAAGCAAGGAAAAAAAACAGTCTATAATTACTTTAAGAAATGAAGGTCAATCTTTAAGACAAATTGCCGGAACTTTGCAAGTGTCAGTAACTGCTGTGGCCAAGACTATCAAACGATCTGAAGAAACTGGCACTCATGAGGACTGAAAAAGTTCAGAGAATCAGAGAATACGTTCATTAGAGTCACAACTCTGCAAAACCGGCTACTGACTACTCCTGAAATACAAGCTGAAGCTGATGCAACTAGAAGTACAGAAGTTTCAACATCAACTGCTCAGAGGAGGTTGAGTGAAGCTGGCCTACCAGGAAGAATTGATGCAAATAAATCATTGTTAAGAGTGCAGAATAAGAAGAAGAGACTTGCCTGGGCAAAAAACACAGAGACTGGACCTTTGAAGCCAGCTTTACACAACCTCCTCTGAACAGTTGATGTCAATGTTTTCCTTCTGCAAATGTAAATAACAAATGAGGATCACTGATCAGTAATGTCATCATAACATTTAAAAAGTTTATCATCCAACTTGCTGTTAGCTACGGGAGTCTCTTTTCTCCCAAACAAAATTGGATTGCACGCCGAGTCTAAACTTTTTCTCTTACTCTAGTTAATTCAGTTGAACTAACAATCTGCATACTTCAGCGCCGAGCTACAACATACAGCTGTGAAGGAGCATTACTTTTGTATTAAACTTCAAGTGCTCATCAATGGACTGCACAATAGTTATCTGGCTGAATTCTAGTACTTGTTTTTGAAAGAGGTCAGGTTTCCTACACCAGATGTTAAAGGTTTGACTGGTTTGAGTAAATGAAATAGTGGAATAAACCAACTAGAATAATTCACACAGAAATAGATCCTTTGACCTGAAACCACTTGTTAACCGACCACACAGCTGAGCTGAGGTCCAACAATGTCAGCTTGAAATTCAAGATGCCAACACTTTAAATTCTAAGGTTAAGTTTGGCAATTCTAGTGCCTATCTTCAGCCATTTTGTACCAACAAAGAAATAAATCTAACAAACAAGACATGTCATAAATGAACTTGAAATTGTTATGTCATAGTTTGTGTTTAGTGGCAGACATTTCAAAAGTTTATGCTTCACCCATCATAGTTTTGTATGTGAATGTCTAGCACTAATATACCAATGAAGAATTAAATACTCATATGGAGCATTAAAACAAATTTTTAACTCTGCATGTTTTTAGAGAGCTCATGTATAAAAATAGAGAATGACTAGTGAATGCAGAAGTTGAATAAGAACTACAGTAAGTCATCATATTAGTGAGTTGACTTGGGATAGGAGATAAGATGAACCCTAAGCTTGGTTAAAATCAGGACACCTTCATGCCATCAGAGGAGTTAAGTCCTTTTTTTAGCATTGAATCAAGGTCTCATGGAGACCCCTCTGAATGACAGCATTTGTGGTGAAGAGCAGGACAATATATTGTTGTGTACAATGGGAGTACAAAAAGTGCTCACAGTATCTAAAAAAAGCACTATATAAGTGTAAATAATTCTTATATTTCAAATTCTTTGTGCAATGGTGATCTGGCTACCTCCTTTAAGCCAAAACATCTATAAAGGCTATGTTCTTTGCAATCCCACTGTTCTAAAACACTGAAACTACTCTCCTTCATTATATAAGATCACTTTATTGGCCATATATAATTTCTTGCATAAGGAACTGGTGTTTTCACATACCTCGACTTGCTCTCCATGGGACAGACAGTTAGAGAGGCTTGGGGTCAGAGCCCAGGGTCAGCCATTTATATGGTATCCCTGGAGCAGTTGGGGTTAAGGGCCTTGCTCAGGGGCCCAACAGAGGATTCCTTTGCCGGCTGTGGGTTTCATGATTCTCCTTGTTGATAATGCTAGACTGCGATTCATTGTTCTAGAATGAGGCTCACTTGCTTGCTGTGCTCAGCCACAGGCCAAGTCCATCACCACCGGACATATCTAAATCTCCTGTGAACTGCTCTTTGCTTCCTCTGGCTGTATTAATGGTCAAAGTATTGAAAACTCTTTAAAAGGAGCCATATCACCCTACAACTCATAACACACTAAAGCTAAGAGGGTGTGAGCCTGGTCAGTGCCTGGATGAGAGATCTCCTGAGAAAAACTAAGGTTGCTGCTGGAAGAGGTGCTAGTGCTACCCTTTGGTCTGTATGGGTCCTAATGCCCCAGTATAGTGACAGGAACACTACACTGTAAAAAGGTGCTGTCCTTTGGATGAGATGTGAAACTGAGGTGTTGACTCTATATGGTCATTAAAAATCCCAGGTTGTTTTTAAAAAAAAGTAGGGGTACTACCCTGGTGTTCTGGCCAAATTTCCCATTGATCTTTACCCATCATGGCCTCCTAATAATCCCCATCTATGAATTACCTTCATCACTCTGTTCTCCTTCCCACTGACAGCTGGTGGGTGGTGAGCGTACTGGTGCACTTTGGCACTATCCCCATTGCCTGTAAAGCACTTTGAGTGGAGTGTCCAGAAAAGCTCTACATAAGTGTAAAGAATTATCACATCACGTTAGGAAATGCATCCCTGCCAATATGTAAAAAATGCTTTTCTCTGTAATAATTTGTTGTCCCAAATTCCACCTTGAAGATAAAGTGAAATTCTTTCTAAACCAATGAATATTAGGTCAGAGAGGAAATGCTGGGCATCTATAAAATGTCAAAAATTAATCTTGCTTTTATATATTCGTTAAAATGTTATATATTTATGTTCAGTATTGTGTTCTTTATGTACATTGAGTGTTTCACCATTATATGAAACCTTTCAAAGCACATAAATCATCACATTCAATATTTCCCCTTCACTGTAAAAACTTTGCAAAAAGCACATTTAACAATGTGAAAACCTCATATTTAAGAAAGAGGGCATCTAACGCAAGGTTATGCTGATGTCACGTAATGTTATTGTTTTCTGTTGTGTATAAGATGGCTTCTGAAACTAAAATAAAAGGCTAAGTCCAGGATGATGTTTTGGAACTGTATAAAATAATTTAATAAATTATAGAGCATCCAGGAGGAAATGGTACACAGAAATGTAAACAATGTCAACATATAAAATAAAGTTAGTTTTTTTTTAAGACTACAGAAAACCACTGGTAATTACATAAAATAAAAACAAGAAATAACTGTTAGTGTTACAGCTGAAACAAAAGTGTAAAGGGCTCTGCATGCAAGGTTTTTCTTAAAACTATCCCAGAGGATACCTAGTGCATATCACTTACTGTAAAGATTAGAAAAAAGTTTTAACTTCTAGTACATTTAATGCAGATAACTGCAGAAGCACCACCATTCACAAATGCTATAGATTTCTTTTGTCAAGGACAGCACAATTAAAATGATAGTGTATGCTAAATCGTATAAGGAAAATATGAAACAGTTTTATATACAGTATGGCAACAAAGTCCTGCCTCCTGTCAGTTACTCTCCTAGTAAATAAATGTGAAAGTTTATAACAGTATTTCAGGAATTATTCAGAATCAAGTTTTTATTTCTGCAAGTATGTAAAAAGTATTGCCTTTGCAAAATAGTTTATAGCAAATAATTTGATATTTAATGCATCTGCTAATGGGCTCAAAACTACAGTCATAGACATATGCAACGTTAGAGACAAGTGACACTGCCTAATTCAAGTGTATTTAATAGTCACAAGACACCAATATGCACAGATTATATTCTGTTTAGCACAGGGAGCTAATTACTAAATGAGGACAAGCAATACTGCATTATTACTTAAGACAATTCAGATTTGTTTAACTTATTTTAGAAATATTCACTGGTCACCTTAATGGGTAAGATTTTTTTTTTTATTGTCCAACAATGTAACACACCTTTCATTTCTATAGAATACTGTCAAGGTACTTAAAACCATTCACTCTTCCTTTTGAAACATTCTGCATTGTAGTGTTGTGGATTTCATCACCCCATTTCTGCTGCCTTTATTGCAGAAGAGAATCAATTGCAGCTTCAGGTTTTGAAGATCTTTTCCTGGAAAAAAAGAAATGAAAGGTCAACAACCCCTCTTTTAATGAAATGCTCATTATTTCTGACAAACTGCAAGCTTACACTATTTATTGCACCTAGGCAACCGTTTTATTTGGCAGTTGCATCAAGAAAATTTTCGACTGTGAGTAACCTTAACCATGTACTGCATGTGTAACAGGTCTCATAAGGCAAGATAAGACTGTTGTGGTGGTGTTATTTCCAAGCAGTCTCAAAAGCATTCAGATCTCACATGGAGAGAGGCTGGCTTTTTGACAGAACAGATTTGTCAGCTTGCCGGGGTGGTGGAAGGTTCTCCATTGAGAAAATAATTTTCATTTACAAGGATAATCTATTAAATGGGAAGACCCATTTCTATAACAGGGCATTTATCACAGCGGTTTGAGTGAAAAACCTTGTTTAAGGCACACCTGCCCGCAGTCCAGAGGCCTAATCTCTACTCTAATAGTATCATTTCCCAAAATTGTATTAGAATAAAGTTTTTGTTTAAAAAGAACTGCAGAGCCTATTGATATCACATTACAGATAAGAAATATTGAGTAACTCAACTTCTTTGTGTAATTTCACAATCTATCACTCCAAACTTCCCTCCAAAAACAATTAAAAAAATAGATAGTAGATGTTTTCTTTCAAATTTTCCACATAGAAATTGAAAGGTTCTTTTTTTTAATTCAGTGACGGCTGTCACTCAGGATAAAAAACATACGTTTAGAACAATTCCCATTGGGTATAATACCTGGACAACGCCTGGTTTCACATAATTAGTAACCCAATTTACCTCCTGCCAGTCTTAGGGCGTGACCTTCCACTTTTTGAAGTTCTGGGTCTCTCCAGTTTCATCAAAGACTGTCTCAGGCTTTCTTCGGTGTAAGCCAAATACACATGGGACAGGTCAACCTCGAATGGCTGTGTTTAAGAATGAAACGGCAAAGATATTCAGTGTTTGTATAGGTGGGACGTAATCATGCTTTACACAACACGGCATAATCCTGTTTTACTTACATCTTTTTCTTTTTTGTCTGGTAAAGGCGTTTGTTTTCTCATATTATTCCCGGTGTAGGCAACACATTTCTATAACAAAAGCAGCATTTGTGATTACATGGTGGGTTGATACAGACATAGCACATCCTCTTACCAAAACCAGAACCCCCTCTTCCCCTGTAACAGATGTTTACAAGGCACAGACCAATGACATAGGTCAGTCCTTAATCTTTTTATCGTTTGTGGCATAAAAACGCAGAAGTGTACTTACCAATTGCCATTCCCCAATATCCTCATTCCAGTGCACATAGTTTTCAATCATCTCCTAGAAAGGAAAAAGCTGACAATGGATCACATTTATCCACTTGCATCTATTTTAACATGATTTACTTTTAAAGATTCCCTCAATCTGATAATCACATATGCATTTCCCTTCAGTTCTGAACCACAAAAGATACCTCTAATCAGCCAGAATATCACTGATTCAAGTAATTTACATGGTTATACAAGCCTATCCGGGATATTCACGATGAGCAAATCAAATGCAGCAACTAAGCAAAAACTCAACATTGCCTAATAAGAGTAAAATTCATACAGTCTTAAAATGACAAGAAACTTTTCATGTACTGTAAATGAGTACAAAGAGGGCGAGGGAGTTTACCTGATAATCTTGGGGAATGAAGTTGTCAATAATCAGCATCTGCAGACGAAGTTCACGGCTAAGTTGTCTGATATTTTCCAACAGTCCCTCTATTTCCCTTTGGTGCTCCTGCTGTAGGTCAGCCATCTGAAAGAAAAAAGGGACATATATTTACTGATGCTAGAATTGCCTCATTATATAAAACATTGCAGGTGTACACTGGTTCCAGGGTTACTTTTAAAGCACTTTTGCTCAGCAGATGCAAGTGACCATATTTCTGAGTCCTTAGGAAAAAGACAACCTTAAAATAAAATGAACTTATGATTTTTTTTAAGTAGCTTACTTCTGACTTGGCAGCCATCAACATTGTCCAAACTTTCTTCAATTTCTTCGTCTTTCCTTGAGCTTCTTCTTGTAAGCTTGTGTACTTCTCTTCAATATCAAGGCGTTCTTGCTGTTTTGAAGCAGTGGAAATAAAAAAAGACATAATTCCTGTGCCTACTCCAACTGATACAAACTACTCTGATTCAATCAATATTGGCCACTCCTGCAAAAATTAACATACTTCACAGATGTGTTTCCTTAGCACATGTTAGCAAGATGCATATAAACTTGCTGTTAGCAAGATGCATATAAATCTGCTGCTCAAAATGCTTGTTGACATGAACAATTAACATGTCAATATGAATTCACAAGAACATGCACAGGTCGGAAATGCTTTGTTATAAAATGTAGACAAAGCATTAACGTAATTTCAGAATGCTTCTTTTTTGGTTTAGAGATTTATGAATTTGGGATTCTTCTGCCATACCAAATGCTGCTGGTTGAGTCACTCAGGAGCACAGTGATTTCATATATAAATAAAAGGAGCTGAACTGTTTATATGTAATTACCGTTCTGAATTATGATAAGCTTTGGGCCTTATACAACACAAGTAAAGGAGCAGTCCCCAGAGTCGAGCCAGTTGAGCCTGGCCACCACTTTTTCCCCATCACCTCTTTTTCCTCCAGCTCTCTGCGCAGCTGCTCAGCTCTTTTCCGTCTCTCTTCCAGTTCATTGTTGGACTCTTCCAGCAGCTTTTCCTGTTCTTCTGCTTTAGCCAGAAGATCTACTCCCCCAACTATCACCTTCTTCTCCAGAGCAGAAAGCTTCTCCAATAGGAGGTGATGCTCTTGCCTTTAATAGGAAACAGCAAAAGTAAAGATGTGAGGCAACTAATTCTACACACAACCATGCATGCCACGTGGTTAACTGATACATTTAAGCCTTAATCTGATCAAGACTTCACAGTCATAAAGCAATTACTCTGTTTCAAAGCTGAAGTTCTTCAAGTGAGTTTATCTTTTTGGCAAATGTAAAAAAATATGATCTGAAGCTATGAGGTGACGTTTAGGCCATTATTCAAACTCTCATACACTCACACAAATTGCTCTCATATACACAGAAAACGGTCTCACATCCACTAGTTTTACTGGGCACATACACATAAAACCCATTCACATTCACTAGTTTTGCCTCTCACGTTCACATTGCGAAGGTGTGTTTTAGGTGTATGTACGAGATAAAACTAGTGAATGCGAGAGCTTTTTGTGTATGTGAGAGCAATTTGTGTGTATGTGAGAGGTAAAGTTTGAATAATGGCCTAAACAGCACCTCATAGTAATTGCACATTATGTATATTATAGAGATAAATCTTTCCATTACTGTAGAAAATACAACAAGAGTAGGTGAAGGAATGTGACTGCTCTGGCTTTTAAAGCACTGATCTTATGCTAGTTAACTTAATGCCTAGGTATAAACAGGGTGTTCCTCACACAAATCTTCTGTGCACAACGCTCTAGCAAGGACCAAGATGCAAAAATCAACCCTTACTGGGCTTTCAATAGGTCTTTTTCTCTTTTCTCCAGCTCGGCTCTGGCCTTGTTCCTCTCTTCCTCCTCCATGTCCAGTTTGGCTTCAAGAGCCTTTTTTTCCTCCTCAATCTTGGCTTGCATCTCTACCATCTTATCAGGAGAGACCTTCTTTTTTCCTGAAAGCAAACCAAGACTTGAATAATGGAAAATGTTCATTTGAGTGGCCTGGAATCAACAGAAGATATTATCAACAGCAGCTTAAAATTATTTTAAATCCCAAGGCCAGTGGAGGACAAAAAAAACAAATTAAATAACGTAGGTGTTCTGCCAGGATAATTAAGACAGGATTAATTACTTTTCTGCAAATGTTCAACCCTTCAAAATTTGTTTTGCACCATTTTTCATTTATGCTGACATTGCCCTATTATGTTGCCTATTAAGACATCAAATAATTTAGGTATGGAAATGCATTCTAAACCAAATATGCATCTATCAAATAAGTACGGTACAAATGATAAAGATTAGGCAAGTTTTAAAAAACAAGTCAAGCTATACAGTAAATGTCACCACAATCTCTGCACCAGATAAGAAATACCAGTTTCTGTTCCAGTTCCTGGAAATTTCTAATTCTCTAAGTTAGATATTTTTCGTAAGATATTGGCATCTTTTAACTTAATTAAATCCAAACACACTTCACTGTAAGAAATGAAAAGGCTACATTCTGGATTGAAAACATAAATGAAGAATCTGTGTACAAACACAAGACGTAAACACTCATTCACTACTAACCATTTGGACATCTAGGACCACTACTACTAACTGACATAAGTTTAAATACTATTAGAATAATGGGGTAAAAAAAGTTTATGAAACCAACCTGTTTGGTCTTGCATTAAGAAGTAGAAATTAGCAAGTCAGAGAGGCAGCATTTGCATCAAGAAAGAAGAAAGAAGAAACAACATTACTTGTTGAATTCAAAAGCCAAGATAATTTCAAAAGCTGCATGTTTGAAGCGCGAAAAGGGGGAAAACATAAGCATGAACCAGAAACCAAATGAGAGACAATGAAATGGCCCATTCAAAATGATGCAGCAGTTTGTTAAATAAGGAGTTAAACAGACCTTTTGTATTAAGTTTCTCGAACTACTCATATTCAAAAAGTCAACAAGAGGCCTAAACTTGAAATATAAGAAATCACTTTTTTTTTTTAATAGAGGGATGTTCGACATGGAGGAATAAATAAATTACAAAGCACAATTACACTCTAGTATACTACAGATGCTACACAACTGTGTAGTGTTCCAGACGTTTCCACAGAAAATGAAAAGATGGTTGGTGAAAAACAATATCTGAGGACAGAGACATGTTTTACTTTCATTTCGTAAAAGAAGACTGCTTAGCCTTCACGTTATGACATGCTATTAAGAAATGTATGTTCCATACCAGATGAAATTACACTGGTAACAGTTTTGCATCATATTCAAACTGCAGAAATTAATTTCCCTTCTTTCAATGGAGATAATTGACTAAATTTAAAAAACTTTTCTTGTCTCTCCTGTTGATCAAATACTGTAAAAAAGTTGAGAAATTAAACATTTACAATGACTTAAATGAAGAACATACTGTACATTACACACGCATGACAGGTGCATGCATTAAATGCGATGAAGAAGGAAAAATGCATGCAATTTGATTCTTCTTTTCAGCTGTTGTTTCATCTTGTTTTTAGGGAGCAAAATAAGACGGGAAGAGCCTCTGTTTTAAAAGATGACCAAAGCAGAAAGGGGTGGGTAGGGGGACTAAAGAGGAGGTGGGTGTCTTTTGAAACAGCTCCCACTCACTAGTATGGGATTTCTGCAGAGAGTTCTGTATAACAGAACAGGCGGAGTCTGAGCTACTGCTGCTGCTACTGCCTGCAAAAGAGAGAGACAAGCTCCACAGCAAACCCAAGACAGGACAGGGCAAAAAGCAGAATGATGGGTAGACCCCAGAAAGTCTGGAACAGTGCTCATCATTTAGCTCTGGAAAATGACACTCTCCACCTACCCACAGGGCAGGCTCCAGCTGAAGCAATTTGTGTACAATGCCACATGTGGTTCCTTCTTGGCGTTTTTCCATCAGTTACATTTCCTAACTCATACACCCCATTTCATCTCAAGACAACCTCTATGTGCCAAACTCTTTTCTAGGGGAAATTGGCTTCTGAAATAGCGAGGTCCAGCATCACAACACTCATATTGGCTACACCTTACCTCGCAGGTGACCTACAGTAACATAGGAATCCTGACCTAGGGCAAAGTTAGACAAGTAAAAGCAGCCCTAAGACTTCCTGGTGCAGTGCATCAGATAGGCTTCAACTGATTTTTTTTCCCTAATTATGACCAATACTGTATTTTAATAATTGGAATAATTTAGACCATGCATTCAACATTAAAGTAAATCTATAATCAGTTACCAAACACAGTGATTGACATCAAATGATATGCCCTAAAAGTATACTGTACTTCATTACTCTCAAAATATTGCATTTCAGGTATACCTATTTCATATTCAAAGAGTTTTATTTTTGAGGACATGCTTTTTCGCAAATATCTTGACAAATGATTTGTATTGGCTGAAGGCATGATCATGCTTTTTTAAATACAGTACATAGTAACATTTTAAGGAGAACAACAACTTTGGAAAAACACATACAAATACAAGATAGCTTTTAAGAAAAGCATAAAAAAGCTTGTGTTCAATCAAATTATCAACAGCTACTTTGCAAAACAATGTTGATAACTGGGGTTGCATCTAATCTGCCTATATATTACATTATTGTGGTTATTATGAGACTTATTTTACAACAAAATAGTTTTTTTTTAAGTCAGTGACAATTTAAGAGCAAATGTTTTAATAAAGCCTAAGTTGAAAGAATTCCTTTCTATATAAACCACTCTGGAAGTTAAAAGTATTCTTAAACAATAAAATGGCTAGGACAAGTAAGCCTTTTACGAAGACAAGGTTTTAATTAGGTACGGTGGTCTTTTACGGTCCTAAATGTACTGCAACAGGCTTGTTCCACAATATTTTGGACAGTGAAACAATCTGCCTTTAATTCAGCACACTAAGTGGTTCTCGGATTAAAATATTTAGCCATCTTAAAATTGTACCCGGAGGTACCGCAAAAGATGAAATTCTAACCCTCCAAGCGCAAACCTGATAAGGAACATACAAAATAAAAATGACAGAGTTGACAAAAATATCTGTAAGGCAGATGTTGCGATATCCTAAAAATCAACTGCCTGAACACAAAGGAAATGATAAACCGCTGCATTGTTGAAGCGGCCTGTGTTCCAGTCCCTTCTCTTTTCAGCAAAATCTCTGGGTTATCTACTATGCAAATTACATTACAGAAAATGCTATGCAAGGAATTAGAAACACCCACGTTTAACTATATAATAGAACCATGTAAACATGCATCGGCACCAACATTCAGTGACTTTGGGAAGGCAGAGTGTTCCCTTGCATACATACCTCTCCGCTTCCTTCTTTTCTCTCCCCCCTCCCCTACTTCTCCGTCTTCATCTTCCATTTCGTCTGACCCGCTGCCTTCAGAACCGGAAATCTCTTCCCCTGGATGATGAGAAACATACTCTAAAAATTCACACACTTATGCATTATTTACTTCTCACAGTTCTAGAATGTTCCCCCTCGAAAACCCGGGCGAAAGAAAGGAACAACTGCAGCTGTGTAGCATTTCAGAAAGCACTTCACAGATGGGAAGAGACCGGCTTCATCCACCACTGATGTGGGGCATCACTCTGGGTGAGGCAAAGAAGGGATTATGCAGCAGCTCAGGTGAAAGAGTGAGGAGGGATGGATGGTAACAAATTTTTCAAAGTACAGTATATCTTTGGATTGTGAGAGGGAGCCCATGCGAACACAGGGAGAATATACAGACTCCCCTTAGATATCACCCCAGGTCCAGAATTAAACTCAGGACCCCAGCACTATGCTAATCACTGTGTCACCCAATTACTTTACCCAATTAATTAATTTGTGTGTGTAAGCCCAAAGAGGAATTCACACAGGATGCCACAGGTAACACCTGTACACTTTTCTGAACAGTGCAGTGGGATCTTCAATGACAAAGTAGTCAGAGCCTCGATTTAAAAGACTCAAAGGACTTCACCTCCTCCAGCAGTGTCCCCCCATCACCATACCCGGGTATCGGTTTTGGAAATCGTGGTCCAGCTGCAGTGGAAGAATTCACCACTTACAGCAGCAACCTCTTCAAGGCCTCCAATCCCATTATTGACCAAGTCAACGTTGCTTAGTTTCTGAGATTTAAAGAGATCAGTCTACAAGGTGGCAACAGTAAACTGAAACCTTTCCAGGAATGCCTCATAAGCAAAAGCATAAGTACTGAAAAGACTTAAGATGAACCACTTTGAAATCTTCAGTTTTTTACTATTTATATGGTTAGTTACTACATTAGTATATTCCTTCAAGAAAAATATATATCTTTAACCTTATAACTTGGTAAATCTTCAACAATGTGATTTCCAAGACATTAAATGTAGCTTTTAATGGCTCTAGGCTGCCATCTAGCTACTGCACACCTTTAATGTTAAGGTATTATATATGTAATGAAGCTTGGACTCTACAATAAACTGCAGCCTTGCACATTTATTGAACAGTACTTTAAATTCCATACCTTCTTCCAGTTTTTTCTTGAGGTCTTCAATCTCTTTTTGGAACTGGCGCAACAAGGCATCCTTAGGATCCTCATTGATTCTGGCTTTATTCTTGATGTTCTTGGCACGGTTAGCATATCGAAGAGTGCTGATGGTCTCATCATAATTATAGTCAGCTGGTCCAATGTTTGCACACTGCAAAGTGAGGCAGGGAAAAAGCATAGTAAAATAACTTGAGGAAATTAAGAGAACATTAAAAAAAGCAAACTAAGGATGCACAGTTTTGCAATTGTTAAAACTGTCAAATATGGAATTATTTCTCCATTTCTCTAATTGGTAATTGTTTTACAAATTTTTTCCATGGGACTGTAAAATGATGAACTGGTTCCAGTTCATTTCTGAGCATGAGAAAAGAAACTAAAGTTCTGTACAACATAAAGGGTCCATGAAATACCTGAGCCCACTCACAAAAAGACACCCTGTTCTATTACCATCATGGTCTTTGAGTTTCCACCCAGAGAGTCTTGAAGCAGACGGGTGAGTTTCGAGTTCCTGTAGGGCACATGGGTACTCTTGCCATCCACTAATGCAGAGATAACATTGCCCAGAGTGGAAAGGGACAGGTTGATTTTTGTGGCCTCTTTTAGGCGCTGCCCTGTAGCTCCAGTTTTTCCTTGTCTCTCTGACCCCTAGGATGAAAACATGAGAGCTTTTTACAAGAAAGAAAAATCACTTTCACTTTGCTTATAATATTAAGTCATACAAGTTACTCCTGAGTTACATGCACATGTATGAACATTCATTGATTTAACACATGTAAATTTACTTAAATGACAGGACTTGAACTGCAGCAAAATGTGCCCCGACACTATTTTTGTATGTTTCCAATACATTCTTTTTTAAGTGGTTGGGGGTTTCGGATGGTGACTGGTTCTGTACTCACAGCGAGATCCACAAGGTGTAGCTTTCCCATCCTCACATGTTGGTTTCCATCAATTCCCTTCTCACTGCACTCAATTGTGATTGTAAAAATGGCATGGGAACGAGAGCTGTGCTCGTTCATATTGGTGGCTCCAACAGAACCTGAACAGAGGAGTTTTGAAATGGTCACTTATGAAATGCCGTTCCATTCAGCGAGTTGGACCTGCTGCCTTGTCAACACTCATTTTAATTTAATGTTGCCAAAATAAACAGAGTTTTGATCAGAGTTCACAGAATACCTGTTATTTTCATTTTAACTATTGTTCAGAATAAACCAAAACATTCACAGCGGTTTACTAAGTGTTACACTAAGTGGCCCACCTAGTCTGTCATGTCTTCGGAAACAATAACAATATTGTGATTTAATAAAACATAAAGAAATGGAAATCCTTACGGTTCTTATGTCCTAGTGTCATAATCCTGTCCATATCATCCGCGTTGTTTACTACATATCCAGACAAATCCTTAATGTACACCCCAACATCTGGCCTCTCCTTGACCTGAGCAACAAACAAACAAACAAACAAACAAACAAACAAACAAACAAACAAACAAACAAACAAACAAACAATGTAATGACAGCAACAAAAATTAAGCCACATCTCACTGTCAAAAATAGCAATTTCATTTTTTAATTGACTTAGTATCTGAATATGACACTTGACAAATTTTTACTCTAAAAATAACATCTCAACGCACCTCCAGTCTCTGATTCTGATCTTTTCCTAGCAGGTCTTTCACTTCTTCATTGTAAATTTCCAGATAGGATACTCTAACCAGGAACCTGAAGAGGAAATAAAAATATTTTTTTCGTTTGCCTTTTGTTCTCAGGGCAATGGAGAATTGCTCAAACACTCTCCACGTCTGTGTTATTGCCACACTCCCTTTCCCACTTAAGCAAAATAAACATCCTACTGGCAAGCAGAAACAGCGGTTACAAAAAACATAAAATAAAATTAGTGCCTATAAAAAAGGATGCATCACTCCTACCAACTTTGCCTTGTGAAATCTGAAACGTTTGAGAAAGTGAACTGTTCAGGCTTCCCACCTAGTGTCACCTTCTGCTTTGGCAATGTGGCCAAAAACATGGGCGAAAGAATTTGGTATGATTCCTCTGAGCTCAGGCACTGCTCTCACACCTTCCATCGTGAAGGTCTTTCCAGTTCCAGTCTGCCCATAGGCAAATATTGTACCTAAAAATAAGAAGCTTAAATCAGAAATCGAAAACAACATCCAAAGCTCTCCCTTACATATCCCCAAACCAGCAAAAACGGTACAATACATCCCACCTCAAATTCTACTTCCAAATTTGTCTTAGAAAATCCAAATGCAAAAAACAAATCAAACCTGAATTTACTTTATTTTGCACTCCTTTATCAATAAGTCATAAAGAGCCCCACAAGGCCTACAAACCCTCTTACATTCATGATGCTCTTTAAAGTCACCGTTGTGCTCCAAAGGCAACTCACCATTGTATCCTTCTAACACTGAATCGACTATGGGCCGAGCGGTTAAGTTATACACGTCAAGCTGCTTGCTTTCAGGTCCAAACACGGTGTCAAAAGTGAAGGTTTTGGGAGGTTCGTTGGGAGAATCGATTTTATTGACAGTTATGGTCCCACGGATCTCATCCACGGTGACAGCCTGCTTGTGACCCATCATTCTCTCTTTCTGGTTGATTGGTCGACATCGCACCACCACCTTGACATTATCACTGACCTCCGATTTCTCAGATCTGTCCAGCTTGTTACTCTGTAGAAATAAGAGAATGTTAAGTGGACAGGTGCTATACATGCCTCTCCTATTTAATCCCAATATTGGGAAACGACATAAGTATGTAAATACCTTCAAGAACTCATGAACTTATAATCAGCAGCTATATTACCTTGCAGCTCAAATGGGAAACCCACTGAAGCTAAGCAGGTGTGAGCCTGGCCTATATATAGGGTTGCTGCTAAGGAGGTGTTAGTGGGACCAGTAGAGAGTTCACCCTGCAGGCTGCGCGAGTCCTAATGTCCCAGTATAGTAATGGGAAGATTACACTGTAAAAAAGCACCATCTTTCAGATGAGATGTAAAAATGAGGTCCCGATTCTCTGTAGTCATTAAAAATCTCAGGGGATCTCTCTAAAAGAGTAGTGGTGTCATCCTGGAGCCTCGGCTAAATTTAACCCTCGCTTTTATCCATAATGGCTGCCTAATAATCCCCATCTATTCATCACTATGTTCACCTCCTGGTGCTAGCTGGTGTATGTGGTGAGCATACTGGAACACTATGACTGCCGTCGCATGATCCAGGTGGGGCTGCACATTGGTGGTGGTGGAGGGGAGTCCCCATTACCTGTAAAGCGCTTTGAGTGAAGTGTCCAGAAAAGCACTATATATGTGTAAGTATTATTATTTATTATGTTACCCATTCATTACCAAAAGTCACAAATTCTGGTAAAGGCTGCGACAAGCCAAAGCCTATCACAGAATCAGGGGGTGCGAGGGGGACGAAGAGCTCACAGACTGCTCTCTCCCTCTGGACTCCACACTCTTACTGTAGGGCCACAAAGAAAGTTACAGTTTAGAAGCCCAGAACTAGTCCTTGGGTAAAGACAGGAAACCAGTGCCCCCTGGTGACAGTCCAAGAGCACACCACAATCCAGATTTCCGAGGGAGGAATCAACTTTAGAACTTAACCTGGAAGCAGCAGCATTAACTACTACTAGGCAGTCCTTTATTATATTATGCCCAACCCCTAATAAATACAACATCCAAGCACAAGGTCACGAGTGTTGTACCAGGACATAGTCATGGTCTCTCATAGTCATCATCAATGTTCACAGAATACTACGCTACATGACAGAAAAAGTGTCTCCACATCCATGAGCTCTGTAAGTATACGCAAAAAAAGACAGGGACAACGCCACAATGTAACTGAAGCAACTCCAAAATTAAATTCTATTTGATAAAATCATCAACAGGAATTTTAACTGAGCCTCACCTTCGTTTATCTACTTATCCCCTTCGTGTGAGTATAGTATGCGTGTTTGTGGGTGGGGGGCATTGTGTACTATAAATTGTTTTACTGTATATTTTTAATTTTTTTAAGCCTTTGATAGCTACACCTTAAAAATATAGTGAAAGATCATTCGCCTTCACGTTGTAAACGGGTGTTCCAATGCTTCATTAAAAACAGCATGTACATGTACTAAATTAAACGGTAATTACAAGCAGGACAAATGAATTCTGCCAGTGGCCTCTAAGAACTAACTATACTATATTATAAAATAATAATTTTACCTTCCTTGAGAAGAAAAGGCTAATACACCTTAAAACCTTGATGAAATTTGCTATTCTAGTGTGAAAGCTTGCACTGAATTTTAAAATAGTTGCCTGACGCCCTGTTCTGGTGATGCTGTCATTCTGCAATGATAAGGGCAGAATGAGTGTGTGCAGTGAAGCCTGTATCCAAATTTTCAATAATATTCACTACAACAGGGAGAAATATGGAGATGGGCCTAGTAGTAATGTATCTGGTGATGTCTCTGCCCAGCATCGCACTGCTGTAAACTGAACTGTCTCCATCCTGTCCCCAAGGTTATTGTACCAACCAGTTTATAATAATTGCTTCAAACAGAAATTTCACCGAGGCATAAAACAAATAAGCTAGTTTCCGTAAATGGAAAGAGATTAAACCTGATTAAAACAGACGATGCAGACTTTGCGTTTTTAATTTGCATGGGTTGTTTACAAAAACGCAGGAAGCAGTATAACCTACTATGATTATATAACAACAATATCACACAAATCACAGACGGTATGAACAATACTCTACATTTTAAGCATTAAATTAACTAAACAGACGCACTGACATGAATTAGATTATTTTAAGAGAATTGGTATTTGTAGCCGGTGGAGTGGAGAATCGTAAAAATGTCTTCAATCGGGAAGAACGGTGTTTATTCCTGTAAATACGTAAAGAAGCGTGGACATACAGTACTTTTCTTGCACATTTTCGCCACCCAGTTCGTGCATAAAGCCGAGACTGTCCCAAGATATCTCTCCGCTAACAAACCAGCCTGCCATAGCAACACGGCAATTCCATAGAGAAAGGGAGGTACCACGGCTAAACTGACTTATATCATGTACACAGAAACTGATTTCGATCACAAGAAAGAGATTCCCTACCGGCATTTTCTCAAAATACGAGAATTGTCTCCAGGCAGACGATAGGATGTTCTTGCATTCGTCGTTTAAACGAAACAGGCCTAAGTACCGATCTGATTTTTTAAAAATTAAAAACACCGAAGGCAGAGTCACAGCGCTCACTTAGGTGATAGGCATTTTTTTTCTCCTCACGGAATTACTGAGCATGTGCAGTTTCCCTTTTCCAACTGTTGTAGGGAATAGGAAGGACTGACATAAAAATTGTCCATTTGGAAGTAGAAATCTCCCCAAGCCAACCAATCAACTTCATTTAAAGGTAAATCTTTTGTCGATGATGTCATGTGAATGAAAGACTGTTTAACCAATAATAATACAGAGACGAACAAAATTACCCAATCGAAGTGGACAGAGGGAAGGACTAACAAAAAAAATGCAATGAAAATATTACCTTAAGGTCATCGTATTTATTATATTATGCAGCAAAACCAGTGATTACTCTTTTCATTATGGAATTAACTCCTATTTCTTCTTCAAATACTGTTAAACTAATCATAAATATTTGTTGTTAATATATGTGTTAATATTGAGTAATAAATACTAGCAAATAATAATAATAGTAATTTAATTAGCCGCTTACCTCTGTTTTATGCGTATACAGTACTGTAGTTAAAATGTCTGAGACGTGTACAGCTGTTGTAAAGCCAGCAGATGGCACCGTTGTGCGACAAGAATCCTCTGTTGGAAGAAAGGAAATAAGATGCAAAATGTACCAAAACAAAAATAATAATAAATTACATCAGCTCTCGAGGAAACTTTAACGGCATGTTTCTGTTTTTTTTAATTACTGGAGCAGCTTGAGTGAGAAATCTAGAAGAGTTCTGACACAAACAAGATTTTCCATAGGCCATACTTTTTTCTAACTGCTTTATTATTATGTGATTTCAATAACATATTTCGAGATAGGATGCTTTTAAATAGTTAGACAATAGTTAGGCATATAAAAATATATAGGCATATGACTTTAAACACATAACCAGTTACAATTACTTAAAAATAAAATTAGTTTACTATATATTTAAAGACTTTGGTGTTGTAAGGAACAATACAAATTGGTGAAAAAATGAAAAACAACAAAATGTAAACATTATTTCACCTTTAGATTGTGCATTGTATTTAAAACAAATGGCCTTGCTTAAGTGCCCACCCTGCAAATGGTAAAGAACTGTCAAACGTTTTGCATAAAATAAAACAAGGATTTCACACATATAACAAAAGCAATGTGAGTATTGTGCAAGACAATGACAAATAATGTGGCACAAAACAGTAGAAACAACAAGAAAAAAAAACATCGTACCTCACACATGATAAAATTATAACGAGATATGGTCGGTATGCTTTATAAGCAAGTTCCTCATGTGGCTGATAATCATGAACCTTTTGGTGATTTCATTTGATCTGGGTTAGCTCCATTTAAAGACTGCTCTAATTGAGCTCTGGGACACTGACATTTTGTCAGCTTTTCTGGGCTCGTGGCTGAGGTTTGATGGTAAATTTGAAATTTTGCCCCGGGCTGTCTGCAGGGCCAAGGCCGTAAAAGTGATAGCAGCATCTGCTGTGGGAGACCCGCAGGTCCTGTGTATACTGCTGTTCTCTTTCCTCTGGCAGCTTCAAAGCCAGTTTGCAGTAAACATTATCCAGACTAGTCCACAACAAACTATTATGTGCAGAATTGCTGTGGTCAGCTCCTGCTCTCAAAAGTGCACACTCAGAGCTCCTTCCTCAATTTAAGATAATGATTCTGTATTTCAATGCAGTAATAAACATGAAACAATTTACTACAGAGAAAAAAGTAAGACCCTGATATTTCAAAACAGTTTTTTTTTCCAAGTTTTTCTTTTAAGCTCTATTGTAAAATATTGGACTGTGAATACATGTTCTTTTAACATTTACTTTTATTTAATTTGAGTCCATATGGCCAGATTACGATAATTCATTTAATAATTTTTAATAAACGTTTTCTTAAAAATGAAAAACAATTCCCCCAAAACTGACTACACTACAATATATGTATTTCTGAGTCAATTTCTGTTTTCTTAGGGACCTTCTAAATCTATAGATATAATAAATAATGCATATTTTGTATAATATTCAAGTTGAGCAAGTGGTATCTTCAGCAAGTATGCAGAGGCTAACTGTCCATTTACTGTATGCCTTTAGCTTTGTTTCTTGATCATGTTTTGGGTTCAGGGTTGGGTAATAAAAAATCAGACCTCTGATATATTTACTCTGTGCTGTTCATGTTCCATAGAAGTACTAACCTATTGCTGTTGCTTCATCAAAATAAAAATACCCAAGCAGTTCTTAATTGTGGTGTGATGTATAGGTATATCTATTAATGAGATTCATACTCCATAATAGATAGTAAATCCCATCTTAAAACAGGTAAAGTTTCATGAGGCTGCCAGTTTCCTTCCTTAGCATCTAATGCTGATTTAGTCATGATTTTTTCAGAATTAAACAAACATTTCAAAAGCATTGTTTTGGAGTGATACAGGTGACTAGTGTGACCTTTGCAAAGCCATTTCTTCATAAAAATGCAGTTGGCACCATGTCTTATTATCTGACACTAAAGAAACAAACTGTGGTTAATAAACAGTAATTGGGTGAATGGAGAATCAAGTACACATGTGCCATGATCTTCTTTCACGTTGACTACATCTTAGGGGGGAAAATAATGCTGCAGAATGTTAGAACAGTAACCTAATATACAACATGTGTGTTTTTGTGAGGTCTCTTTGAAAAGTTTTAAAACCAGTGATGACAGCTTTGTCTTTGATGTTGTGTCTGTGTGTCCAAGGTAGACAACGTGCTCTTGTTTCACCTCAGGGGTGTAGATGGGATGCAGCAGAAGACTGCCATGAAACTAAAGGTTCTTGCTCAGATCTAATGACTGTGTGTGCATAATGTAGAATGAACTTATCCGTTCTGCCTCCCCCCCCACCCCCCAAACACACGTCCTGCACACATTCTTCAACACTCCGGTCACCAGTGGCAGCTCAGAAAGGAAGTGGGGAAGAACAGCAATATTTCATGACACTATGCCTTTATTTACTGTTCATTATGGTACAGAGATCAGAATGCACTAGAAGATTGATATTTATTTGCACCTCAGTCCCACTGACTTTCTCTGTTTCCACCAGTTGTTTATCTCAGCATTTCTGCATCAAATCAGCTTCAGCTGGGATTGAATGGCTGAAACTGCTAGTTTTAAAAGGAAAGGAGAAAAGAACTGAATCTGGTGTACAGCACGATTGTTATTGATATTTAATTTGACCATTTTTGTCGTATGACATTGTTTTCGTTCTGCTTTGCTCCTTTTTATCTCTGTCTGTGAGGCATGACTTGCTACTCCGCAATGTCTCTCTTCTTCATGGCTCACTGGAAAAGAAGAACATATGAATTAATGAATCCTTCTGTCCAAATCAAACAACCATGGTCCACTGTATTTCAGGAAAGAAATTTCATTTAAATACACTTTAAAATGAAATACTCAAATACAGGGAGTGTGTTACATTCTTTATTATGTGAATGGGTAATATTGAGTTATGTTTGCAATCAAACCAAATATTATAAATATTATGCACATATCTGTATAGTTGATCGAAATTTTGTAGCCTAAACTTTATGAGCATTAATTCCAACATGAAAAAAAATCTGTCTTTTAAGCCTATAGATACATTCAGGGGAAGGATTATTGATTGATAAAACTAGACTGGTATTTACAGACCTACTGCTTTAGTTAAGCTATTATTGGCATACAAACAAAAATACAAACCGTTTGTTTTTTACTGGAAATATTAAGGTGCAATGCAGTTTCAAATATAAAAAACTGCACTGAAACATATGGGCCCTTTGGGCCTGCATTTCAATAGGGAATGAGAAGATTTGGGATTGCATTTTCTTTTATAAAATTGCATTATACATAACAGTATAAAAGCATCTTTGTATTCCTGATACATTGAAATGTGAATTAATTTAACACAGTGCATTTTGAATGTAAGGTTAAGACTGTTGATTAAAAGAAACTTGTTCTGAATTTTGCATTTGAATTTTTTATTTTAGGTTTTCTTTTTTTCTGGATTCAAATAAAGAAACTAAGTGACAATGAAGACTGGAATTTGTTCGAATGGAAACATTGCCTTCACATGTGTCCTGCAGAACATCAGAGGAGGACTCATTGACCTTTTAAGGGCAGCCCAGTCCTTTTCAGCCACAGCATTCCTCTAATGATTTGCTGACATGTTGATGAAGAACTTTTACAAAGTTTGAAATGGTTGCCCATGTGATGCTAATAGGAGAAGACTAATAAAAAGCAGGGAGATAGTTTGTTCCCTCCATATTGGTCCCATTCTCGTTTGTTGCTGCTGGCATTTTATGAATTATTGAAGTGCCAGTGTCTTCACTCCGCCATTTCCTCTTCTTCGATGTGATTCCTAATGCCTGAACAGCATCCTGCCTGGGAGAAAAGCCCCTTGCAATCCGGAAGGCAGTCTGTTGCAATTAACAAGGCTCTCATCCCCATTGTGTCAAGCATTGTTTCAGTCTAAGAAACATCTCAGGCAAACTTTTTCTTCCAACCCCAGCAACAACAACCGTCTGATGTTAAAACAGGACTGATAGCGTCAATCTCAGTTATTTCTTTCTCACTCTTGCAAAATGTGCTGAGACTTCACTGTCGTTTTATGTAAACTTCAATGTGTCTTCAAGAAATCCTTTTTTTAATGTATTTTCTTTGAAGGTAGAAGTTTCTCACTTGAGTATTTTGTGATATGTTTTGGCATTATTCTTTTTTTTCCTTTTAATGTTTTCCTTAATAGATACACTGCTGTGTAACAGTCTTAGAAACATTAAGCACCATTGTATGCTGTGCACACTGTTTCTAGTGCTTTTAGCAAGAACATGATTGTATGGTGTTCTTCTGCTGAAGATCAAGATCGATAAAGATTTAAGTCAAATCATTTTGCTTTACATAATTCATCCACATAAATCTATACATAGCAGTACAATAAGTATCTTTTACATTTATGGATGAGTAGAGAGGAGAAAATTATGTTAATGACAAGAAACACCTACCAATGGGTTAATTAGATTTGATTGACAAATGTGATAGATGAGCCACTACACTTCATATTACCTTTGTAGTTAATTGTAGGTAATTGTTATCAAATTTTTAAAGATTATGATCAATGTGAATTAAACTGTGGTAATAACAGGCTTGGTTTCTTAACTCCATACTAAGGTAAT